AGCTGCGCCGCCACGTGGTGCCGTCGGCCATGCGCAAGATGCGCCTGCGCCCCGGACGCCCGGTACGTGCCTAAGCGGACGGCGCCAGGGGGGGGGGGGGGGGGGGCCACAGGACTTGGAAACAATTGCTGACGGTGTTTCGTGCTCCCACTCGGATTTGCTCTCATGTTAGGCTGTAGGGCGTGGTTCAAGATGCACATAATGTCGACATCACGGCTGGTCACTCCTGTTTGTGCCTGGCTGTGTACAGTTTTACATGTGCTATATGAATGCCTCTCATTGCAACTCATCCTCACAAGTTATCCCGAGGATGGTACTGCGAGAAGCTACACATGATGATCAGATATCAGTTGTATTGAATTTTTCATTCGTAACCGCTATTCCAGCATGCAATGACACAGTATTGGGAATCATTGTATCGCTGTGTGTTAACAGGACAGTCCCAACAGGTCATGATCGCTAGAATCCACGAACATGTTGCAAGTACTTTTGTATCATTTTTTCAAATGTTTGGGCTTTGTATGATGGTGATGGTCTTTCAATCATCCCTGTTTCACAGTCAACAAGCCCCATACCATTACAGTTGTCAGCAATGGCCTTTTCTCATCCACTGTTATATGTTATGAGACTGGACTGTCGACGATGCACGACTCGTGCTGTTTGTGAGCACCGCGCGTGTTCGGCAGTACTGTGAGCTGGGCCGCCTGGGTCACGAGGTGGGCTGGAAGTACCAGGATGTGGTCAAGACCCTGGAGGCCAGGCGCCGCGTCAGGGATCACGTCTACGCCAGGAAGATCGCCCTGCAGAAGGTGGGTGAACGGGAACTGACGGTCGGCTCAGGGCTTTTGTGAACCAGGGGATGTTCCAATTTCGTTTTTAACATCGTGCGATTTTGCTTGTGGGTGTGTTATGTAGGGTCGCGTGCTGTATGGGATGTCTGGAACATGTAGAAACTTATCTACAGTTTTCAATGTTCCAAACCAAAGTTTACCCTTGGTGCAAGGAAGACATGCTGTTTGTCGCCAGTATTGACTGACGTTACAGTGACGGGGGGGGGGGGAGATCTGTGCTTGGGGTACATTTGGGCTAGCGTCGCCCCGGCGCCGACCGCTCAGCTGGTCTCGATGTCTGCTATTTCGGTGTTGATTTGGGGGGCTGCTTTTTACTAACGACTTGATGTTTGTTTCAGAAACTGAAGTCACGCGTTTTGAAGCAGGTTTCAAAACAGATCGCGCCCATCGACAAGGAGCTGGCTGAGCTGGGGTGCGTTGTGTAATGTCAACAATACAAGCCCTCAAGTGTGGCGGCGTTTTATTGGGAGGCGTTTTGAACGACCGGAGAACGGTAGTTTGTACTGCACAGCCATTGATATGAACAAATTTTACACTCGGTTATTGGATCGTTCTCAAGTGAATGTCTAGGGTCCCAACAGCACTGCTGAAAGCTTGTGATCAATGTTGTACCTTGGTAGAGTGTAGGGAAATTCTGAATAACATCCATCGCTTTTGGGCGAAGCAGTGAGCAAGTCTTACGCAGCTGTTCTTTCCATGTGACACACTGAATCCAACCAGCTCTAATAACTTACTTTCAAGACACTGCAGGCAATTTGACCAGACAGGATATTTCTGGAACGTTGTAACCTCACCACTTCTTCATCGCTACACTCAATGAGCAGGTGGAACATGAAATATTCCAATCTCAAACAGCAGGTCGTCAGGAGGTCCAGGTCTCGGCAACCAGGTGTTGCATTGTCATAAAACTAGCTGATGGCAAAAGCAAGCCGACAATCGACTGCAGACAATCGCGCTGGTGGGTCGATGAGTGCGGACTGAAGCGCGCGGCCGCGCGAGCTTGGCTTTGGAACTCCGAGGGACCGGTGTCGGACCTTGGCAACCAGAGCAGGTGAGGGCGTGGGACCATACACTGCACCGCGTGGTGTTCACGCGGAGGCGTGCGCAGTGTGCGTGAACGCACCGTCTACAAAGCGAGAAACGACAATGATAACCCGCCAAAGCAGTAAGATGCATTTGGTAAGCAATAACAAGCCTGGCGCAGTCCGTGTCACCGTTTCCAAAACCAACCTGAAATGCATTCTGCGCTCTAAACGGAGGCATATATATTTACACAGCTCCCATATATACTAGGGAAATTTTGTATGCTTGTAGGTGGTGCCTGACGGCAGCATCTGGTTCAAGCATTGGCTTTTCGGACTGAGCTCGTCGCGGTCGCCAAAAAAGTGCTTGGTTTAAACGCGACCATCTCGTCTGAGTTATAATTCATTATCATCCATTGACAGACAATTTTCCAGTGCCGCTAGTTGTAAACGTCGGCGCGAAGCCTCGTGAGTACGTCTACGCCTTCTAAACTCGTAAAGGTAGGGTATTCTGATGCACTGACGAGTGATTCGTATGGGTTTTGAGAGCACGCGGACCCATTTCTTATACCTGCATTGCGGTCAAGTTAACGCTTGAAGTCTCGCACCACGCCGCAACAGACGTCTTACAAGTTAACGTTGGTGTTGCTGTTAGCATCCATTGGCGTCTGTTACAATGCGAACTATTTGTTAGCGTAACCGGGCCTGGGTAACCTGGTAACTGGTTACGATTGCGTCACGAACGCCTCGCCAGGCGTTCCATGTGTCGGCCGTAGATCCTCCTCGCATACCGGAGCCCAGTTTCCCTCGTAAACATCAATGCAGTAGGCGTGTCGGTCGTGGCACCTTAGCTTTTGAAGCTGTCGTCAACATCTTGTTTTGGGCAAAAGGACCTTCAAATTGGCGGGGTAATAAGGGCCGAAATTTACTTTTTCCTTCTTGTTTTGATTGTAAAAAGCAAATTGTACTTGTAATTGCATCATTTCATCAATTAATTAATGTCATTGATTGTACAAACAATTGTAAAAACAAAAATACCTCCCCCTCCCCCCCCCCCCCGCTGCTGAGAATCTGAATGCCGTGGACCGAGGTTTTCTGCCGTGGCGCCGCGGATGGTGAACAAACTTGCGCTGCTCGCCGGCGCCGCCAGGCTGCGCTGTTCACCGCCCTCCAGCAATGCCCGAGTGTCCTCGGCGGGCTGGTTGATTGTTATGTTAAGTAAACTCAAGCAGAAGCACGCGTTGTGTGTGTCTGTGTGTGTGTGTGTCGTCTACGTCACGAGCGAGGATGCAGGCAGAGCGAGTCTTGCCAGAACCGTAAACAAAATGTTCAACTGGAGACCACAGACTCAGGAGCACACATCATGGGTCCAGGGACACGGACCATGGGTCCAGGAACACGGATCACGGATTCAGTGTCCAGATCTCGACGGCTCGGGACTGCAGTGGCGCGAAGCTGGCTAACGGTGACACAGGAAAAAAACGGACAATCATACTGACAAAAGTGTTGGTCGATGCTCGCATGCCAGCACGTGATGTGCTCGAATCATGCATGAGCCCGTTTTGGAGCGTTTTAAAGATTTACGTCCGATGTATGAGACCAGAACAGAAGATACATGAGATCAACCGCATGGTGGGAAACGATGTATGGTCTACACGCAGTGAACGATCTCAACACCGACATAGCAGGGCAATGACAAACTAGTCTCATGATCAGTATAAACATCACTAGAATCAGTGTCTCTCCATTCAATTAACACGGAAAAGGAAATATTTCCAAATTTTTGCATAATTTTGACGTCATCACCACTGGAAGAGAAAACGTTTTCAAAGTTGGCGCTCTGAGACTGGTTTGTCACTGCCTTGCTACGTCTGTGTAATCATGAGTCTCAACCAGTACTTCGTCATACGTCTCAACACACTACTCGTAAGGTGCCCTAGTAATCGATCGAGAGCAGCCAGTGCCAGCATGCCGGAAGCAGTCTCAAACGACACACTGGCTTAAACCAACAACTGATGCGGAAAAGGACTGCGTTGGCACAAAACCTTGGTCGTTGCGGTCAATATCCGCCCAAAATGGTTGTGTTGTAGCGTTCCAGGAAAACCCAAACTCCCCACTCTTGAAAGGGCATGTTTTACTACAGTGTCAGAACCTACTTGTATGTGTTCTCAAGGGCAGCCGGGTTCCTTTGCATGCATTTTGATTGCTGTGCTTGACGATATCACTCAATGTTACTGTCAACCCGCTCTTCCTCTGCCGTAAAATGCGTCAAACTGGTGGAGATATGCGACAGATAGGTGTATGGTTGTACGCAGGGGGAACGAAGATGACTACAAATGTCATGTAAAAGATACCAACCTGACGGAGACCAAACGTGTGGAAACTTTGAGAGGGCGTTACTTTATCGGAAAACAGGAACACGCTGAACCCTCGATGGAATAATAAGTTGTGTACACATATTTGAGTCATGTGTGCTAAGATTCCACTTAGGATAGCGACCCCAGAGACTAGAAAACTACACCAATGGTTGTGATACGTAATGATCAGTGTGTGGCTGGTGCATTCGCTCACGCTTTCCATCGGATATGGGCGTCGTCTAAAATTTGCAGCATGTATGCAATTCAAAAACAAACACTGCAGATTTGACTGGATCCAGCTTTACGCGAAACTTAGTCTCTGATTTGTGTTTGCCGGCATTCAGCTTACAAACGCCGCTGCTGTATGCCAATGTTTATTCGATTTCCCTCCTTAAGTCAACGTATGTGGTCACCAATCATCACACAACAATACACCCCAGCCAGACGGGTCGCCAGGTTCCCGACCAGGAAAGTGGAGGCACACGTAACATCCAACACCAGCGCGACAGCCACGGAGCGCTTGGAGTACCGCTGGATACCGCCGTCGAGTGTCGGTGGGCACCGCCGCGACGGCGCCAGCGTGGTCCGCCTCACCGCTGCCGCGTCCTCGCGCCGGCCTCGGGCGACGCCGCTGCGGCACCCCCGTCCCCTGCGGCCCCGCGAGCTGGCTGCGGCGCGCCCGGTCTCGCGCCACGCTCCAGATTCGACTGCCATCGCGCGCTGTTTACGTTGGCCTGCCCTTGGCGGCGGCGGCGGCGGCGGCGGCGCGGCTAGGTCTCCGTCAGCGAGACGCCCATCAGCTTGGCCGACTTGTGGTGGCCCAGCCTGTTCTCGTCGAAGTACGGGCTGGCGGCGAGCGTCTTGCTCTCGCAGTAGCGCAGCTCCCGCAGCACCTCGAAGCCCTGGTTGAGCAGGATTTTCTGGGCGGTGCGGTGCGTGACGCCGGCCACCACGGCCTGGCAGCCGTCCTTGCGCGCCAGGTCGAACGAACTGGTATCGACCAGCTCCTTAGCGATGCCCTGATGGTGGTAGTCGGGATGCACGGCCGTCATGCAGCGGTGCAGAATGCGCGTGGCTCCGAAGTGTGCAAAACACGTCCACGCCGTGCTGCGGGGGAGGGGAGGGGTCAGGTCAACGACTGTGGTGGCAAGAGGAGCGGGGGAGGGGGCATCAGGTCATCGACAGTGGGGAGGGGGTGTCAGATGAGCGGTAGTGTGGAGAGGGGCGTCCGATCAGCGGCAGTGAGGAGATGCCATGTCAGTGGCAGTGTAGAGGGGGGATGTGACATCAGCGTGTGGAGGGGGACGCCAGGTTGTCGGCAGCAGTGGAGGGTCAAGTCGGCGGCGCTGGGTAGGGGGGCGTCAGGTCAGCGGCAGTGAGGAGATGTCATGTCAGTGGCAGTGTAGAGGGGAGATGTGACATCAGCGTATGGAGGGGGACGCCAGGTCGGCGGCGGCAGTGGAGGGTCAGGTCGGCGGCGCTGGGTAGGGGGGGCGTCAGGTCAGCGGCAGTGAGGAGATGCCATGTCAGTGGCAGTGTAGAGGGGAGATGTGACATCAGCGTGTGGAGGGGGGACGCCAGGTCAGCGGCAGCAGTGGAGGGTCAGGTCGGCGGGCGCTGGGTAGGGGGGCGTCAGGTCAGCGGCAGTGGGAAATGTTAGGTCAGCGGCAGTGGGGAGATGTCAGTCAGGTCAGCGGCAGGAGGGCGCTAGGTCATTGGCAGAGGGGATGGGCGTCAGGTCGGTGACAGTGGAGGTTTCAGGTCGGCGCCAGTGGGGAGGAGAGCGCTAGGTCAGCGGCGGTGGGGAGGGTGACTGACGTCAGGTCGGCGGCACTGGAGGCGTCAGGTAAGCGACAGCGGGGCAGGCTCAGGGCAGCGGGTAGCGGGAGGGGGGGGGGGGGGGGGGGGGGGGGGGGGGGGGGGGGGGAGGGTGATGGAATATAGTGTAGGCACGTGACGCTTAGTCCACAACGCGCGGTTTCCATGAGCTGGTCCGTGGATGTCTGGCCTTCCATCGGGGTCATCTTAACACAACGGCACACACCGAGACACACCAAGAGACCTCAGAGGCGCATGAGCTTTCCGGAATCGCATGTGATATACTGCTGCTGAAGCGTATCTGAGTTAGCAAACTGGTACGCAATGCGCGGAAATTTGGAGATCCGTTTGCGGTAGCTCATGAGCAATAAATTAGGTCGAGGTCATGAGCACCTTTCGCGCTAAGGTGCTGATGCGACCGTTTGTCGCACACTTAAGCTTATAAAACATTGCGCAGTATATATATATATATATATATATATATATATATATATATATATATATATATATATAGTAATAATATATACTCTCCTGACCCTACTCTACATACCTCCTGACCTCGCTCCTCTCTCTCCTCTCTCTCCTCTCTCTCTCTCTCTCTCCTCTCTCTCTCTCTCTCTCTCTCTCTCTCTCTCTCTCCTCTCTCACCTCTCTCTCTCCTCCTCTCTCTCCTCTCTCGCTCTCTCCATCTCTCTCTCTCCTCTACCAAAAAGAAGCATTAGGAGGAGAGCATTTGGCCTCTAAGCGAGTAGGTTAAACGTCACTGTTACCACGCGAGGCGGAGCCAGCAACCCAGTGTCATATCTTCCAGTACGGCATCATGCTGAGTTAATGGGGCAACGAGGTGTGATCCGTACGTACTTCGCTTGATCTTATGGCATGATTTTGCGTGGCATTGTGCACATCCAGCAATGACTTGCTAACAACATATGATGTAATATTGTTGAGATTTGTTCCCCCTTGTAACACGAATAGTTGTTAGATAACGCGGATGCACAAGTTCCCTTGAATCACCCTGCTGACCTAGTTGGAACCCTCTAGAACCAGGGGCCACTTGAACACCACCAAAGATCACTAGCACTGACATCCAGCAATCTGAATTAAGTGCAGTTGTAGCCGGCTAACCGACGCTGTTTTCATATTAGCTCGAGCCTGTTTGGCTTCCGAAACAGCAGGCGGCCTGTGAGGCATCCTGCTATCTGAAAAGCTAAACCATCAATGTACTAACGGAACTTTGCTGGGAAAACTGGCTCAGTTTCGCAAAATTCCTAAAAGTTAAATATGGAGCCATGTCCCTGGCCAAGTATCATGTTTGTGGCCTCCTGCCCTCGGTAAAACACCTAAACCGGCGTTTTTCAACATGTTCATTGACGAGGAATTCATAAAAAATTAATTATCTCAAGGACGACCATTCAAGTGCATGATGGCGATAAGCGCGAACGTCTCTAGCTCCATCTGTTGTGCAAACACGCGGCAAATCGGCGACACTGGCACAAGCCATTGCCCTGCCGCGCCGACCCATGCGGGGCGCGCCGTCGCAGCCGGCCGATCGTCACGTTTATGTTCGAGTGTAAATAAACAGTGACCAGACATCGCACCACGCCTCTGTACCAATTACTGGGCCAGCAACTGTTTGTATGGCGAAGACCGCAGGCACGTAGGCGTGTGGACCGAAGGGCTAACCGGGCACGCCGCAGTGCTCTGTGCGCCGTGCGTCACCACGGGCGCCGCCTGGGGACAGGCGGCCGGGACGCCAGGGGGTCGGGCGGCGTCGAGCCACGCCTTCTCGTCGTTCTCATATAATCTGCTACTTCTGAGGTTGACGACTCTCTGGTTTAGAAGGCTGAGCTGCCAGGTTCCGTTGAATGAAGCCCGATTTTGCTTCTCGGTCGTGGTGTTTGACGGCATTACAAAAAATCGAGCGGGATCTGGACTGTTCTGGCCGCCTGGCAGGTGTAAACACGCAGCATTGCGCTCTGTCTGCTCATGGGCTGAATGGCATAAAACTGCTGTCAAACACTGACATCGCGCGACCAGATCACGCTGTTTTGCGATGCGAAGCCTCCTGATTATAGAACGCCCACCACGACTCCTAAACATTTTTTCTGACGTTCTCACTTGACGTTTGCACGTCCCAGACCCGTTTTTAAACCCTCGGCGTCCGGGTACACACTGAAGGCTATGTGTCGTGCCCCCAGCTGGCAACGTGCCTACGCACGTCCGCGCCGCCTCACCCGGCTCCTCAGTGGACCCTCCCCGTCCTCCTCGTAGGGAGGAAGGCGGCTGCCAGTCCCCTTCCCCTCCCCAATGAGCAGCGTGGGATGAGACATGCCTCAACTCGAGGTCCTCATTACGATCTCTCCCACCCTCCGTCGCTGGATATTCGACGCTGCTCAAGCTATTGGCTCAAGATATAAGATAGGCTCTGGATATTCGACGCTACTATTGGCTCAAGCGTGTTTGGTCCCCAAGATAGCAGGGGCCGCCTCACCTGTCGTCTCACCATGATCTCCTCAGTGGAGTTCGTTCCCGCCGTACCTGCCACCTCGCCCCAGGCCTCAACAGAAACCCCTCCCCGCGCTCTCTCCCGCCTCGTGGCCTCTCCCCAGGTGAAGCGCTCCTCCCTCCCGCCTCGTGGCCTCTCCCCAGTGCAGCCGCCCTCCTCTTCCCGTCTCATGGCCTCTCCCCAGTGAAGCCCCGTCCTCTCTCCGTCTATGGCCTCTCCCTAGTGAAGCCGCCCTCCTCTCTCCCGCCTCGTGGCCTCTCCCCAGTGAAGCCGCCCTCTCTCTCCCGTCTCAGCCTCTCCCCAGTGAAGCCGCCGTCCTCTCCCGCCTCGTGGCCTCTCCCAGTGAAGTCGCCCTCCTCTCTCCCGCCTCGTGGCCTCTCCCCAGTGAAGCCGACCTCCTCTCTCCGCCTCGTGGCCTCTCCCAGTGAAGTCGCCCTCCCAGCACGCCCGCTGCTCACCCCGAGCTCCTCGGTGAAGTCGAACACGAGCCGGCGTACTCGGTGCCGGCGTGGCGCGGCCAGCTCCACGTGTCGGGTGCTCGGCCGTGATGACATTGTTGAGCGTGGCGCCCACCAGCCGGTCCTCGTCGGCGTCGACGGCCAGCAGCATGACGTCATGGGTCCAGCCGGCGATGCACGGACGCAGCCAGTCCAGCACGTCCTCGCGGCCCGATCCCGGTGCTCGCTGCACGCTGAGCGCCTGCGGCACCGGAGGCGGCGGGGGGGGGGGGGGGGGGGGGCGTGGTCCGCGCGCAGCCCGCGTGCGGCAGGCGTGGCGAAGCTGAAGGTGCATGGCAAGTGGCCTGAACAGTTGCACGGGTGACAGCAGGCCGGGCAGCCAGCGCGCAGGGGGAAGCGCCAGGGTGGACCCGTTATGGCGGGGACGATGCGGCGGTCTGCCACCGCGTGCTGGCGGCTGGGACAATGGCGCGCAGTTCCATACGGGACATCGGTGACGATTCGCTATCTCAGGCCGTCACGCGAGCGTCCCGAGACCGCGGCTGCCATGAGTCCGGAGTCTGTCCGTCAGCCAGCATGTGCTCGAGACACGCGAACAGCTAAAGTGCCATATTCCACAAGCATCCGCTCAGCCCACTCGCTTTGTCGTCAGCGTACAAAACGGCGCCTGGCCGCCGGTCTGTGTACAGAAGCCAGCGGCGCTGTGACGTCACCATAGGGCTCCGGCAAGGACACGTACTAGCGGCTCGTGCGCGGGCCCCGACAAGGACACCTACCAGCGGCTCGTGCGTGAAAAAGGTATCCAACATCAGTTCGACGATGTCGTCCAGGCGGTCCTTGCTGTAGGGCACGTACTCGATGTTGTAGGCGTGCATGCCGCTCACAGTCCTGTGGCAGCGGCATGGGGTGGTGCATCGGCGCGCGGGATGAGGGGGGTCAAACGGCTTCGCTTGCCCACCGGCCAACGTCACGAAACCGCCAGGATTGGACTGGTACGTGCTGCGTAGGCTGTGATCGCGACAGGCTCATCTGATCGACTGGCACGTCTGTGGTGAAATTTGCGAACAGCTCGATCCTGCCCTCGTAATTCGCGCCGTCACCGCGCTGCGGCGGCCATCACCGCACCGCGCGCCAATAGACCTAACGTGAAATTGGGGCGGGCCGCGTGATAACGGGCTGCCAGCGACCCGAAACGTTATCGTGCGTTGAACGTTGGAGGAGAGGAAGCCGGCCCTCAGCGCAAGGACCGGTGGCGCGGCCTGGCTTGGTTTGGCATCGCGCTCCTACTGCTGATGCTGGGACGAGCGGCGTCACTCTGTTACGTATACCTGACGTTTATCATTTCAGAGTATGTTATGATGAATTGTTTTCATGGAACCCGTTAATCATGTAAGAACTTATCCTCACTTTGTTCCTCGTCGGTAGTTCGTTACGAATGCACTGGTTTTAGTGTACTTGACTTTAACTACCAGGTGAAAATGAGATTAAGGGAAGTACTCTTATGAGTGCGGGACATTTCTCGCATTTACATTGAACGTATGACATAGTGCATTAGCTCATTATCCTGATTATTTTCCCATGCAGCACTGGATATAACGTAAACATAAAACATTAACATGGTCATGAGCAGAACGCATTGGTGTCATTCCAACAGACTACACGGATGCTGTTTTCGGCATATATCTATAGCAGGGCAAAATAGCCGTTGCTTCCACGAAAATGTCAGAAGTCCAGAAGCTGCGAGCGTACCATCCTGTTTCCGCGCGTGTCGGGTGCCGTCAACCCACCTGTGCCGCCTCAGGAACAGGCGCTGGAACATTCCGGACTGCACCGACATGTTGGGACGACGACCCGCGCAGGCGTGTGCAGTCAGCCGGTGGATGGTACACTGCTGCGCTCAGCGCTAGCCGCGGGTCTGGCGCCGCCCAGACTGCGTCCGGTGCCGCCTCAGACTGCGTCCGGTGCCGCCTCAGACTGCGTCCGGTGCCGCCTCAGACTGTGTCCGGTGCCGCCTCAGACTGCGTCCGGTGCCGCCTCAGACTGCGTCCGGTGCCGCCTCAGACTGCGTCCGGAGTCGCCTCACACCACCGTCCGGCCGCTCCCGCCCTGCGATCCTCCTCTCCGTGCGCCGCTCCGCTCGTCCGCGCTCCGTTCCCGCGCTTTTTCTCTCGTCCCCGCTCTGTTCCCGCGCTTCTTCGCTCGTCTGCGCTCCGTTCCCCGCTCGTGTCCGCTCTGCTCCCGCGGCCCCGCTCGTCTGCGCTCTGCTCCCGCGCCGCCCCGCTCGTCGGCGCCTCGTTGCCACACACACCGTCCGCCGGGCGAGAACAGCTTGCGTCTGTCGTGCTTACTGGCCGGTGACTTGACAGGCCATGTGGGTCGCCAGGGGGCGCTCGACACCGGCGGGCGGACCTCCTCCGGCCGGGGCGTGTCTCACGACTGAGCGGGTCCGGCTGTCTCCCGGCCGGTCCGGCCCGGCGCCGCCTCTGCCGCGCGGACGTGGGTCCCGGGGGACCAGAGTTGGCGTGGGGAGCGGTCGTCAGTGGGTCTCTGCAAGTTCGGGTGAGGCGGGGAGGGGGACGGCGGCTGACTGCCCAGTCCGCGCCGGACGTGTGTCGCCATCGGGTGCAAGCGTACTTCGAGTGCTGGCATTGGAGGCAAGCTGTTTACGGCGCGCGTTTTGCGCACGCAGCTCGCGCTCAATGCCAAACAACGCCTTTGTCCGCATTTCTAAGACGCCTGCTCAGCGCAGCATGATGTTCCTCGTCTGCTGATCAACGTCTAGCATGAGCTTTCAAATGGTAGCCAGCAAAGGTTTTCTCTGACTTAGCGGCGCCGACACATAAAACAGACAGTTTTTTGCGATTTCAAACGTGGATTCGGCTAATGACTGTTTGATCTGTTCCGCTTAGTCTGATCGCTCTGTTTTTTACTCATGCTGTGTGTTATTAATTTAATGAGCACCGCTATTCCGACGCGTGTCTGGCTTGCTTGCTACAGCATAACTCACCAGCCGTCGCCAAACCAAACTTCGCATTCAATGTGCCAATACGACAAGGAACTATAGGTGGCAGATTGTCAACCAAGCATTGAAGGGGCCATTTCACAATTGTATGAGGTTTTGGGCCTGACATAGCCATTGCAAGATCATTGTCTGCAGTTCAGAGTCATGCCCTTTGCAATTCTTCAAATCCTGACGCTTTTTAGCTAGGCGCCCGTGAACAGATGCGGAAACTATTCGCGCCGTTTTTGATTTGTAGTTACCTATAGATGTGTGATATCACTGGGGACGTCACAGCGAATTCCGCCTTTTCAACAGTCATATAGTGTTAAAGTTCAAGGAGAAACCCTGGATTCTAACTCATTTGTGGTTAAAGTACCGTCAGCAGGAATTGTAAGATCAACGTATGTCAGCTGGCTTTGAACCAGTTTAAGGCATAAGTGTCTCGCAATGTAAAATGGTCTAATGGCATAGCGCGTAAATACAAGTCTCGATCACGTTCTGTTAAGTCAAGCCTCGAGTGTTTGGTGAAACATGATGCAGTATTGGGCAGTTTTTACTAGTTGGTAGGGACATGACGTCGCGAATCCAGTTGTGTTTGTAATAGAGCCGTAACCGAGAATATCAATGGTAGCAAGCAACATGCCACGACAAGAAAATGATAATGATAGTGAAATATACAAGAATATACAAGAAAACAAATGTACAAGAACACAGAAAATGTGCTAAATTAAGCACACATAACATCACATGCCTTTGGATGAGGCCACAGGGACCCAGGGATTAGAAGAAGAAAGAATAACCATAAGTATCATGGCGTCGTATATAAAATAGGTCAAAGCTTTAACCATTACGGCTTCACGATCTTTTTTAGAATTAAGACATTTTACAACTTCGGAAAATGATGTCTTGACGCACAGTCAATCTCGGCAGAAAGAGCATTGGCTCTGAGCAAAGTTAAACCCATGTTGCAGAGGGGACATACGGACAATGAAATGGCATGCGAGGATTTGCACGTCCGGCAAATGACCTTGGGCGTCGAATACAGCTCACAGTGTGATCACAAGTATGGTGGTGGTGGTACTGGCTGACAAGATGAAATGCATGTGTCGTGGTCTGGTTTGTGATGGCTAACGGCCATGGGTTCCGCAATTTTAGCGCAGCCGCATCCTTACAAGCACGCAACATTTTTCGAGGGAATTTTTCAGGGAAGATGGATTCCGTGGGTTTTTTTCTAAATGTGATAGCCGAGTGGAGTTCCAAAAGCGTTGCAGCGGTGCTCGTATACCTGGTTCATCCAAGATGTAATGTTTCACCAATGTAGGAGAATTTCTAATCAGGGGCACACACTTGACACGTGATCAGAAAGACAGAGTTGCGCGTTATGCACCTGCCACCACACCTGCCTGGCAAGCGTGACATATGCAGTTAGCCGCGGGGCATGAGGAAAGGTCAAGGACAGACCGCACAGGATTGTCCTTTAATGTCCGTCCACTTCTCCCGCCACTCAAATGGGGAGACCTGATGAATTATTTTCGAGTTTACTGCTTTAGTCAAGCTGTCATTTGCGACTGGAAGCGATATGCATGTTTGTTGTTCTGTGAAGATGTGAGTGATGTCATAAGCAGTTATCACTAAGTGGATATATCGCCCGTTTGACCATTCGCAGCGAGATAGGAATCCAGGGGTATCCAGGAGAGAGATGTTAAGCGGACGCAGCCGCTTATTACTCGATCACTATTACTTCGCTCGCAATAATCTCTCTTGCCCAGTACTCAACGTGCTTAATTTCAGTTATAGGCTCTTGGAACTGGATTGCTCTGGTCCCAATTCAATACGGAAGGGGCTAGCGCGCACCGCACACCATGCACATAAAAACCGCGACTCGAACACTGGAACACTACACATTAGACACCACGCCTGAAGGAGGTCCCCCCTGACAGGAGTCGGGGTAGGCCGCACCAAACTAACGCAACTCCTACATCTCTGAACAGCACCACCCTCCTCTTTATCACTTCTGCCAACACTTCATTCACGGTCGAACGGGTCTTTGCTCACTTGGCCCCCACACAAACGCGCAACGTCCCACACACAACCACTTTTACACGACACAACCACGCATAGACTCCCACTAACGCTCACTTACTCTTATTTCTAGGTGACTGCTATCCGGACATTCGGGATCTCCTCTTCGAATTCTTATGCGACACAAACTTAAAAAGTTCCTGTACCAACATTGCAGGTTCCCTTGCACCATTGAAAAAGTGCAAGCGCCCCTCCCTGCCGAGGGCTTCCCAAACACAATTGAAAAAGTAGGCTGGTTTTTCCCCTTTGCTTAGATCCCGATTTCTATTTAAGTCTTTCCCAGATTAGACAACACACTACACGACAAGGTCGCATCCGGCCGCAGAGCCGGATCCTGGATGCAGCCAGGACCGCAGAGCGAGGGTATCCCCGCTGCCGCCATGATCCTGACATTGAAGCCAGGACCGCAGAGCGAGGGGATCATCCCGCTGCCGCCATGATCCTTGGTGCAGCCAGACCGCAGAGCGAGGGGATCTCCCGCTGCCGCCATGATGTCAACACATCCGCTGGGCCAAGTCAAAGGAGAAACGAAGCGGTCCTGCATCCGAACTGTTTTATGCTTTGTGTGTATATGGCTGTTCGTATTGAGGAAGCTCAGCACCAGGCTTTGTACATTCTTTCGGAAAAAGTCATTCAAAACTATTCTCAGCACTCTTATCGCGGACAAAACCCTCTATTTCTGTCCCTATTTCTCTTTAGTTCTGGTCTCCCGTTCATGAAACAACGCATTGTCACCATGCGTATAAGTGGAACGGGTTTTTAAAAACCGTTTTGAGCTAAATAACGTTTAATTATTTCTGGGTCTCATATTTACGGGGAGTGCCCTCAGATCCTATGCTCAAGTTCAGAAAGCAGGTGCTTCGAGGGTCGGTGGAGGCCGAAAAATCCTTCCTAGTAGAAAGAAAGCGCCTCTCATAACGCCATGTGAATGCGCGTGAATCAAACCCGATAAAGTTCTGCGCATGCACCGTGTTCCTTGTTCGTTTATACAGGCGTTATGAGGTAAATATACAGGTTGCAAACCTGGAGGCAGTATCCATAACTGTTTTGTACATTGACGGACACTGGGGACACACCGTAGCGGGAGGGAGATAAGAACCGCGCTACCTTCATTCTGGATTGATGGTGATAGACACGTAGACAAAATTGTCCTTGGAGAACCGGCAGATGTCAAATCTGCCAGCTCTTCGCCAGTCGCTGGCTCTCAGAACCTTTTTGTATCGCGCAGCCTCATCCTGGAGCAGCCTGCCGCCGACAAGGAGGTTCGTACCAGACTGGACGATATAGAGGCTCCCGTTGTGCAGCATTACTTGCTTGCCCATGTGTAATACGTTTTGACGACTGATGATTCTGCTTTTTACCAAGTTGTGTGAAAGACGGCAGTAGTTGGTAACGTGCGAAGGTGATCACGTTGCTGTCATTGTTTATATTACAAATACTTTTATTAAAATAGCTTTTATGTTGAGGAATGATGCCTTATTTGCAGCCCATGTGACAGTGACAATAATGGGATATAAAGAAGATAAATATAGTGATGCGCTTAGTACCTAATGTGACAGCAGTTCAGACATTTGCCGCATTCCATTGGCCCAGTATTCTCTTTTGCTCATAAGCATTGGGATTGGGAGGGGGCCAGGAGAGCATTGAAGGGCCTCAATCCAGAATTGTGGGGGGGGGGGGTCTTAGGCCCCCGCGATATTATACAAACGACAACCCTGATGCGGGGGGCGTCTGACAGTAAAGTAAAGTTGAGACAAGCAATACAGGTTTTGAGTCCCTGGTTTTTCAGTATTATGAGTTCTCATGCTTACATGAAGCCACCTTTAACGTGCAGCAG